TATAATTAACTCTAATAGATTACATCTAGAAAATAGTTTCACATTTCACTGTACTAGTTTCTCTCCAATTCGATGCTGCCTTCAGAACAGCTCAGGGAAGAAATCCATTACCACATGTTTGTTTGAGTCATGTGCTCACTGCTGAAATCAGATACCTGTTAGGAAGGGAATGTGCAGACATTTGGAATTACTGGATTCAAAGCTGCTCCAAACTTCTACAACGAAAAAATTGAGTCTCACATAAATACAACTGCATCAGCTTTCTTGACTCTCCAGAAACAGTGCAAACACAGCCATGCCTCCTCTGAGAGAAATCACAGCAATCGGCCTCAGGATCACTCCTTTTGAAAAGGGCAGTAAAACTTACACTTGGACATTGTTTTTTTTTTTTCCTTTAAGGCCCTCAGCAGCATGACTCATAACAGAAGCTGTTCTTAAAATGGAAAGAAATGCAGCAGCAATTAGTGTTTAGAAATACCAAGTAATTCCTGCAAGTCTACAGCTGTTTGAGAATGACCCTGTAAAGTAGGTCTCCCACTCTTTACCAGTACTGTTGCAGATTTGAGGATGGAATTCCTATTGCACCGCTACACCGAGAAGTTTCTCCTCCCCAGCACTGCAGGTTCACCCCCCTGCTCCTTTCCACCCCAGAGAGGAGGGCAACGGACCCAACAGAAAAAGGAGCAGGACTCTTCCCTGCCCAGGACAGAGGCTTCCCCAGCCCTTCCAGCACCCCCTGCTCTGGCTTCGCTGCCAAAAGGCAGCACAGAGCCGCTGCTGGTGAAGCTCCACCTGTGCTGCAAACAGGGGGACCCACCAACCAAGTTCTTGACTGTCACAGCCGAGCGTTTCTCTCTGCTGTTCAGCAACTTCTTGACAGCCATAAAAGCAATCATACCGCGTACCCTTTATCCTTCACGCCCTCTCCCTCCCCTTCCCTTCGGCCCCTCCCCTCATAACGAAGATCAGTTCTGTGAATTATTCTTTATAGTACCCGGGTTTAGAGTATTCCATTATCGTTATTGATCACTGCTTTTGAGAAGTTAATGGCCTCAATAAAATGGGTTTCTTGTACTTTCCGGTGATAAACTGATAAACTGGGTAACAGTTACATCACTCCGGGAAGAGGACGGAGAGGTTGGAACCTGCTGTTCAACAAGAAAACCCACAGGTCAACAAAAGCAGGTTTGGTTTATTTGAATGACTTCATTAAATATTCTACAAAGGTAACAAATTGCAGCACAAAGCGCAATCGTACAAGAAGCGCAGTGCCTGGGTTTAGTGCAAAACATACAACTAACTACAGCCAGGGAAGCCCAAAGTTTCAATTCATTTTATTTTTTTTATTTTTATTTTTTTACAGTGTACATTGTTAAATAATGTAAAGAAAACGCTTGTAATTCAGAAACAGATTTTATGTGGAAAAAGATACTCAAAGTGTAATATTAAACAAAATAATTTAACAGTTCAGTAGCATTAGTTTATTCCTCTAGACTTCAGTTATTCATCCACAGGAGGGTGCGGGGAGGGGGGAATAAATCAATGGTAAATAAAACCAGTTTTTGCATAACATTAAGTGAAAAAACAACCTCAAACTTACTAGGATCAAAATTAAATAACCACGTGCTGCATCCAGCCGGTTGGTTGCCCTGTCATGAACACCCCCCTTGTTTCATTACTGCCCCCGGGGTTTGCCACTGCTGCCCTTCCCAGAGCTCACCTCTCCCCTCCCGCTGCGCGTTCAGGAAAATTTCTCTGCAACCCTCCAGAGGGAAGAGCAGAAGTTCTCCCTTTCACTTCAGCCGCAGGGACCCCCACTCTGCTTTCTCCCCGCCTTCCAGCACACACACGCCACGAGCCTCCTCTCTGCTTCTGGAGCTCTAGTCTGCACTTCAGTTACAAAGAATAAAGCCCCAACCCGACAGAGCCTGGAGCCCAGCCGCCTTGCCGCTAGCTTCCACCCTCAGGCGTTCCATCAGCCCCAGCCTGTACCTGCCCCTGCTGCAAAAACTGCTGTTAAAAAAAAAAAAACAAAAAAACAGTGACAGGAAAGGAACAGGTTCTGTGTGTTTCTTTGTAAAAATGAGCAAGAACATCCGCAGACAGAAAAGCTCCCTATTAAGGATCCACGGGGGAACAGCGCTCCCAGGGAAAACAAAAAAATAATTCAGGCGAGTAACACCTCTGTGGTGCAGCAGCTTCCAGGATACCGGTGGGCTACTCCCAAGTACCCGGCAGCAGTCCTCGCATCCTTCCCGGCCTTTTGCAGCACTACATAAATACTGGCTGGTATTATTTTTACTTTGAAGAGGAAACCAGTATTTTTTAAATATGAAAAGGGAGAATGACCAAAGCAGAAGGTACAGTACAGTTAACTAAGAGGTGACAGATAGTTACAGTCCTGGTACCAGCTTGAAATTTGTTAGAGTGAACAAAATCGTAAATCCTCCAAATGACAGAGGAAACTTCTTGATGCCGGCTGTTTCAAGTACATCCATTGCCGGCAATGGACGTTGCACCAGGACAGTCTATTCCTGGCTTAAATGGATTTTTACCAAAAAAAAAAAAAAAAAGGTAAGAAAAGCAATCCCAGCAGACAAGCCCACGCCACCGAGCAATGGCACCTCTCCCTCAAGTCACATCCTGACCAAACATCTTCACCACTTTGCAGGTGGAGTCAAACTGCATCTTAAGTTGGGCCTTTTCCCAAAGATACACGTTCTCCCCATCCTCTCTCCGTTTCTGATCCAGACCTCCTGCCTCCATAGACAATATTGGTTAGTCTCCTTTTAGCTTCCCCTACAACCCTCCATTCCACCCCCACCTGGCCCCTGTCACACCAGCAACTTCAGATCTGCCCGCCTGGACAAGTTTCCCCAACACAGAACGTTGTTCCAACCCGCCGCCTCAACGACTCCCCCCCTCCACGCACCTACTCTAAACAGTAATGGTATCGCTAAATAAACTCCAACGTCCCCGTCGCTAGGTACGAGTAATCCGTCCTTCTCTGAACTTGCCCTCTGTCCACCTGGGGGTCTGCTGGGAAGACGATGCTAACTGCAGAAGCAATAGAAGTCCAAGGCACTAAAATATCCAGCAAGCATACTGGGAGAACAGACAAGTATTCAAGTACATTAATTTATACAATTTTACATTCACATTTATTTATCTAATACAATGAAAATACAAAGGAAAAAGTTAAAGTGTCTCCAATAAGTATAAGGATATAGCTAGCTTTTTTTCCCATTTTTTTCTTTTTAACTTTTTTAACCCTCTATATTCCACTCATTTTTAAACTACTGTTGTCCAACAACATTTATATATCACAGTGTTTCCACATCAAAACTGATGGTAAGTACATGTCCGCAGGGAACTTTTAAAAAATTTTAAACAATTTAAATTGCTCTAATGCTGCAGTCAAAGCTGTTAATATCTTACTTAAAGCAGTAATGACCTATCAAGCACGGGCTGCACTGCAAGTCCATTCGTGTGCCCCATCATTTCGGAGCCAGATACGATTGACTGGGGAGAGGGAGAGGAGGGGGATTTGGACAGCTTTTCTCCTGGTCTTGGTTCTTCAGGGAGAGAGGAAAAGCGCGCTAAAGCCTCATGCTAGGATTCAGCTCTCCCACCTCAACACGTGTGGATTCAGCCTCAA